GGTTACCCAAACAAACACTTCAAGAATTTCAACCGTAACCCTCACCCTAACCCTAATTCTATGTGTCACCCCCACCCTCACCCTAACCCTAACCCTAATCTTAACCCCTCACTCCCACCCTCATTTCCTCCATAAAAATATCTCACACATCCACACTATCACTGCGAAAGCAAACAAGCTTCTTGGCTTCCTTAAACGGACTTGTCCCCTGCTTAATGGCGTCTCTGTTAGGCGCTCACTCTATTTGTCTTTGGTCAAATCACAGCTGTGTTACGCCACCCAAGTCTGGTCGCCCGCTTACGTTACTCTGAATGCTAAGGTGGAACAGGTGCAGAGACGTGCAAGCAGGTGGATTTTACGCACGCGTAAAGACGAGTCGTCGTACAAAGAGCGGCTAACTTTGCTAGATTACTTCCACTTTCTCTAGATCGTGAACTTAAAGATTTGATCTTTTTTATAAATGCCTTTACTGTAGTACCGGTTTAGATGTTCGGAATTATGTATCTTTTGTTTCCCATGATCGTACAAGACTAAGTAACTTCTTAAATCTTCCCACTCCTTTTTGCAAAACATCAACTTTTCAGGCCTCGTACTTAAACCGTATCGTTGAACTATGGAACTATGTTTGCAAGCTAGCACTCCCAACCAGCTTTTCCTCGCCTACTGCCTTTCAACTTTTTGTTCGCAAATTAATGAGCACTCACCTTTCGCGGGTATATGAAATCAATTACCCCTGCACGTGGACACTAGTCCCTACGTGCCCATGCCATGGGCATGCCATGTAATTTATTTTATTATTTTATTTTTTTGTACGAATGTTTGAGTATTTCTTTATTTTATTTTAACCTAGGTCTTAATCTAGGAGCGGTGCCTCGCATGGGATGTTAGTCCCGTTGCACCTACCCCTTTTGGGTTTTTGCTTCTTTTAAGCTGTGGAAAAAAAATCCATGTGAGCACATAGGTGCTTGCTTTATATGTTATAGTTTGGGTTAACTAGAAATAAAGATAGTGCCATTTTAAGGCCAAAAGTTGATAAAGGAAATAAGTGCCCCTTCAAATAAGCGCCCCCCTCTCCTCTTAGAAAATGAAATAAGCACACCGGCGCTAATTCGAGCATTTACGGTAAGTAAAAATATCAGTGACTCACTGATATTGCCATGTGTCCCTGATATGGGAGTGTTAACAATGTAGAGTGTAAGAGTCAGGGTTTAAGGGTTAGTGTAAGGGTGAGAAGCAAACATTAGTAATTTTGTACTATTACGCATGTCACTTCAATAAAAAATGCCGTATACGTCTCGTATATCGTATCGAGTACTGAACCTCGTTTTTCCTCGGGGGACGGGGGAGGGCGGTTATTTGAAGGGGGGCGCTTATTCCAAATTTTAAGCATGAGGAGGGGCGCTAATTCGAGCATTTATAGTATCTGAAAAATTTCCCTTGTTGTATAATTAGTACTAGTTAATTTAGTTTTATGTTTTTTTTAATGCATAGCAGCCATCTCTAAGGATGTGGAAAAGGAGGTAACTGAAAATGCTGGAACTGTATTCCAAGAGTCGTCAGGGCCTGATGTTAAGAAAGGTTGTGAAACAGTTACGCTTTTGAAAACATCTGAGGATCCAGGATCTAACACAGTCAAGCAGGAGGCTGAAAAAGTAGGCAGACAGTCAAAGGAAAGCAACACCAACACTCCCTCTGAAGAGTCCGATAGTCAAATCCGCAACAGTGATCATGGGAAAGGCAATGACGAAAGCGGTGAAATTGAGTCAGACTTAGAGGTAGCTGTATTACCAGAGCTGCAAATAATGGTCGGTTATTGGCAATGTGACGAAGTCGAAATTTATTTGTGATTAGACGTGATGCCGGACAAACCAAATGCCAAAGACTATCATATTGAGGCCTTTTTAGAATAACAATTAGTACCAAGGAAATAATCATTGACATAATGTGTAACTGACACATTTCTGGTTTGTCCCACTGAAATGGTGATCTGATCAGCTGTACTATGTCCTCTCTGAAGAATACAAATAAGTTTGTAGCGATGTCACTGTCAAAATTATCCATGCATTCATCGTTTACAACCACTGATTCAAGTGCTGGTTTATAATGTCTTATTGGGTACCTGTAACGAAACAAAGAAAAAATCTTTGATTTTTATTTGTTACCTAGTATTAGGTGATTAATCATCTTAATGATGTTGAGAAACAATTAATGAAACAGTTTTAAAAAATCACGTCTTTTTATTGTTTCATGTCGTTTTGTTTTCGTTTGGTTCGTTTTCTCGTCAGGTTGATAATTCAAATCCACCAAAAGATAAGACGGTACAATCTGCAGGCACGGAAAAGCACCCGTCCTTGAGCCAGACCACTATGGATAAGGAAAAAAGGAAAGAGGAGGAACCAACTAGAGAAGCAGCACAGTGAGTCCATTGTTTTGTTTCGTGGACCATTTTTTTTTTCATTAACATTTTAGATCATTTAGGCTTAATTGTAAAATCCTCATCCTCTTTACTTATCAAGCCGGTCTTGGCTGCTACTCTCGCATGCACCTGCACCTGCACCTGCACCTGCACCTCTGCCTCTCCACCTTTCTTCTCTCTACTTTCTATCCTCCTGGCTGCAATCCTTATAACGCCGTTACCCCTCATTCATTTGATTTTGTACTCTCGTATTTATTTTAATCTTTGTGCAGCTCAAGCAGTCACTTACACCAGTCACACATTCCAATTGTCTATCAGGGTGGTTAACTTTGGTGCTTCCTGCTGGCTTTTATACAGAGCATCTTCATAGCAGTAATCTTGAATCATTAAAGACTTTAGTTTGCCTTTAGGTACTCCTTATTGTACCCATTATTATTATTATTATTATTATTATTATTATTATTGTTGCTATATTTTTTATTTGTTATCTAGTTCACATTTTTTTTTATTTTCATTCATGAATTCAGGGAGCAAACAAGTGCTAAAATTTGCCAATACGAGTGATCGCCGTCGAGTTTGTATATTCTGTAAAAACGAAACGGCGACTTAATAGTCATGAAATGTACAGTTCGAGTTTCGACAAGATTGACAATCCTATTGTTTGCTGTGAGAACATATATACGGTCGCTACCTCGCTTTTTACAAGTAGCAAAATGCCACTTTTCTTGCTGTGTAACAATGAGCACTTCCACCCATATTTTGCCTTTATCTTCTTTAAGATGAAAAGTGCTTCATTTTCTGTTGTCTACACTGAGCAAATTTAAACGCCATTTCTTGCATTGGCAATTTTTTTCTTGTTTATCCCCTGAGAGAAACTACGTGACAGAAAGCCATGGCAAGTAACTCTCCTCCGCAGAGACTCCCGCTAGGTTAAGAGGCCTCTGCGGAGGAGAGAGGGCGAGTGTCGTGAGTAAGGTGTATTATTGTATTATTACCTATTTATTATTTATTCAGAATATTTCCCCAATTCTGATTGGCTAAAAGCACACGCATAATTTACCATAACCAGTTACTAATGACCAAATTTGGAAGAATTTTGTTTTTAACGAGGAAATGACGTCAAAAATGCAGCCCTCTACAGGTTAAGGCATCGTTAACCGAGAAAACCTGGGGACGAGGTTGAGGTGTTTTGGTTGTAAAAAAAAAAATGGCGGACATTTCACTCGTTTTAAGAGTAAGAACTACAGCTGGAACTAGGCGAAATAATAGCTAAAAACATGGCAACAACAGCAAGAAGACAACCCGGAGAGCGACATCTGCCATTTGGAGAATATTTGCGGAGCTGGACAAACCTAAACGTACATTATCAAAGATGAACTTAACATCGATACAGGTAAGCATGTTTCAGCTATGTTTTTAAACTAGGAATTATTTTGGATGAATAATAAATTCTTTGCAGGACTGATAACCATGACCAAGTGGCTGACAAGGAAAAGGGCGGCGGTTTCGGAACCAACCGGCCAGTCGATGGTGATGATCACGAACATACTCATGGCAACGAGGAAAACGATTCTGGTCTTGCAAAAAACAATGAAACGTCGTCAAAAATGAAAAAGGAGTACTTTGAAGATTATAACGGCAACAAAATGACTGTTGGTTTTCATGCTGTACTTGCGCCCCATTTTAAATTTGAGCCAAATCTTGGAGACAAAATTTACATGAGGTTTGGAGGAGAAAAGTTTGGAGATTTTCAGGACAATGTTGTGGAGGTGATCCATCAGCGGTAAGCTACGAGTTATAGATAATGTTGATTAGAAAACATGACGTAAAATCAGCGTGTCCTTGTTCAAGTTTTAGTTAAGAAATTAAGTCCTAAAGAGACACGCTTCTTCTACGTGAAGCTCCACATTTTGCAAGGATCCTTAAATATTGTGAGTCAACTTTTTTAAAAATTTTTTTTTCAAAAATTATCTTCATTCCCGTTTTTATTGGTATAGTTTTTTTATGAAAAGGTTTGCATGACGTTTAGTTGGTCATGAGATGAAATTTCTTTTAAGGATGTATGCTTACGTTAGGAAGTGGTCTGCCTGTGGCAGTTTAATGAATGGGGTTATTTTCTAATGAAGCTGTAGTAATTAATGCGTCGATGTTGGACTGATTTGGTTTTGAAAACTGAGTTGGTTTTAAAAATAAGGCGAAAAGGAAACGTTCTAACTATAGAGCGTTTAGTCATCGTAGCTGACGGGATTTGACGTGTACGACTGTTTAAAGCACCCGTGGAATGAATTTGGCTGTGCAGGCGTAAGAATAATTAGGATGAGAGAAGTCAAGATGCTCCATCCAGGCCTTGCCACCTGCTGTTCCTGGCGGCTCTAGAAGCACTCCCGCACTCCAGGCGGTGTTTGCACTGGGATTGCGATGCATTGTGGATGTAGAAATTTCAAGATGGCGGCGAAGGTCAAGAAAACATGGCGTGAACTGCAGGAATGGCTCCGAGCCGTAATGACAGTAACCGCTGACCGCTTGACATGTGGTCACACATTGCCATACATAGCCCCCCATAGCTACCCATTGAGACATATAGCTATACATAGCCACCCATAGCTACACATAGCCACCTATAGCCACCCATAGCTACACATAGCCACCTATAGCCACCCATAGCTACACCTAGCCACACATAACCACACATAGCTACACATAGCTACACATAGCCACCTTAGCCACCCATAGCTGCACCTAGCTACACGTTGCCACCTATAGTCACCCATAGCCACACATAGCCACCTATAGCCACCCATAGCTACACATAGCCACCTATGGCCACCCATAGCTACACATAGCCACACATATCTACACATAGCCACCTATAGCCATCCATAGCTACACATAGCCACACATAGCTACACTAGCCACCTATAGCCACCCATAGCTACACATAGCCACGTATAGCCACCCATAGCCACCCATAGCTACACACAGCTACACATAGCCACACATAGCTACACATAGCCACCTATAGCCACCCATAGCTGCAAATAGCTACCTCTAACCATAACTGCACATAGCTACACATAGCCACCTACACCCATGGCCACACGTTGGCACACAGCAGCACATAGAGCTACACAAAGCCACGCATAGCCACCCACAGACACGCATAGCTGCATATAGCCACCAATAGCTACACATAGCTACAGATAGCCACCAATAGCTACACATAGCCACACATAGCCACACATAGCTACACAAAGCCACCTATAGCTACGTATAACTACACAAAGCCACACATAGCTAGCCATGCACACGCATAGCTGCACATACCCACTCATAGCCACACATAGCTACACACACCCACACAAAGCCACACATAGCCACCCGTCGCCACACATTAGTACACATAGCCGCCCATAGCTACACATACCTACATATTGCCACCCATAGACACACATAGCCATTTATAGCTATATAGCTTCGCAATTAGCCACTCCTAGACACACATAGCCACACATACCTACACAAAGCCACACATACTTACACAAAGCCACACATAGCTACACATAACCACACATAGCCACCCATAGATACACATAGGTACCTATAACTACCCATAGCTACCCATAGCTACACATAGCTACACATAGCCCCCTATCGCCACACATTGGCACACTTAGCCATTTCGCTACAGATTGCCTCACATAACCACCCATAGACACACATAGCCACATATTAAGCTACACTGATAGCCACACATAGCTACGCACAGCCGCCCATAGCTACACATAACTAGATATAGCCACACGTAGCTATAATCATAGCCACATGCACATAGCCCCAAGCTAGCGAACAGGATGTAGTATTCTTTCAGTGAAAAACTTAAGAGATATTTATGTTATTCACCGGCCTATGTCGGTCCGTATCGGGAGAAACTGAGCTCGAGGTCTTGCGTACCGCCCTCGGCCTACAACATTTTGATTTTTCCCTACTGAGATATAAAAGTTTCAGGAAAATTTTACTTTAGTTCAACCTATGTGTGTTGTAGTAGGACCCATTCGTGTCGATGAAGCGCGCCATCGATTACAAACTAAAACAAAACATTACAACATGATTTTTAGCTTGTAATTTTATATATTATCACAATTAAACTCTCTTTTAGAATAAAGAAGGAAGCTGACATTAAGGGTTAGGGAGCTTAAGCAACTACGACGAAGACCACACTAAACGAAAACCTAGAAAAACAGTTGGTTTCATGAGCAAAACAACAGCCCTGCACTTGCATCACGCTTTTTAGTAAGTTTCTTTGACGTCCACTGCACGACTACCACGTGAAACCTCCTAATGCAACGTTTTATGGAGGATGTCGACATACGACGATGAATTCTCCTTTCTCTTTTTGAACCTGGATTAAGTCCTTACAAATTCAACTCCTCCCCTTCCCCATATATAAAAAAAGGTCGCCTGCATTTGACATATTGAGCGGGTCCAAATAGACGCGATTAAGTTTGAAAGAACGCAAATGTAGCTATGTGTGGCTATGGGTGGCGATGTGTGTCTAAATATGGCAATGTGTGTCTAAATATGGCTATGTGTAGCTATGTGTGGCTATAGGTATGGGTGGCTATGTATGGCTATGTGTAGCTATGTGTAGCCATGTGTAGCTATGAGTGGCTATGGTTGGCCATGTGTAGCTATGTGTAGCTATGGGTGGCTTTAGGAGGCTATGTGTAGCTATGGGTTGCTTTAGGTGGCTATGGGTGGCTATGTATGGCTATATGTTGCTATGGTTGCTATGGGTGACTATGTATGGCTACATGTTGCTATGGTTGCTATGGGTGGCTATGTATGGCTACATGTTGCTATGGTTGCTATGGGTGGCTATGTATGGCTATATGTTGCTATGGGTGGTTATGTATGGCAATGTGTAAGCACATGTGAGGCGTTCAGCGGTTACTTTCATTACGGCTCGGAGCCATTCCTGCATATTTTAAATGGCTAGTGTCGAGAAATTTCCCAGGTTGCATGCTTTATTTTTCGATAGACATTTAGGTTTTTTCTGTGAACAAATAAAAAAAAATCAATATTCCTCATTACAATCTGAAACACGGAGCACGAAGATTCATTCTCTACGAGCACGAAATTTGATCCGTTGTTGGAGAGCTATAATTTCTACCATAGTGCTCTTTGACGACAGAAAGTAGTCTTAAGTGTTTTTACAAAGGTTGATCTACACCAAGGTATAAACGCTCCCCAAAGCTCCCCACTTTTTGAAATAGTTTTTTTGAATTAAAACCGACATGTTTTCATAAGAAAATGCGGTCTTGCACAGACAAGACGTGTCGCTGGAAGTGTCACTCTTTTAATCAAAAGTTAATTACAAAATAGTTCATTGGTTATATACAGGAGATTGAGCCTGTGGACGATTGCACATAACAAATGTCAGATTTATGAAAAAATATATGTACGAAAAATGGCCTATTAAATATGGTTGTCACCTTTTGAAGCAACCTGTTTACCTAAGAACACAGTTATATCCAGGGATTTGCATATTTTCATCTCATGGATGTACTAAATTATAATTGGGGAACAAAGGCTAAGGGAAAAATAGTTGGCAGGAAACGAAACATCTGTTGTAGTTGATTTTTTATCTCAGGTAATTTTTCTTTTTCTTTTGTTTTTGGGTATATTAATCCAGTATGCTAATGGAGTTGAAACAAAAGAAAAATAAAATTCACGTGAGAAAAAATTAACTACAAGGTATCCAAAGTGGAAAAAAGGGGGTACTACTAGGATCCACCACAGTAATAATTGCTAACCCAAAAGCCTGAAGTATAGCAACAACATGGGAGGAAATTAAAAAACAATATCCGTCGCTATAAAATGACAGCACTGAAATACTAATCACTATTCCAATATAATAAAAGGTGAATACGTTTACCCAAAATTTTACATACTATCTATAACACCTATGACACAATATTTGAATTAAACAAAAGCAGTTGGAGGGAGGGGGGATCAAAAGAAAGGAAACGGGTCTCCCTACATGTTGCCCCTGATTACAGTAGATATGTAAACACAGATAAGATTTCCACATTTTGAATTGAGAAAAATTATTATCATGCAAAAAATATGTGATAACATGTGTTTTTACACACTGATACAATCATTCACATGAAATAAAATGAAATAAAGGCAAAAACCATGAATGCCTCTTAAGCTCAGCTCTTGTAACTTAATCTGCTTAACTGTATGAGGATTAGAAATCACAAATGCTGAATGCCATTTTCAATTTCAAACTTTACATTCTGTGACTCATACCAATAGAAAGCAAGGATACTAGATTGCAGTATTTCTTCATTAGATTTTTATTTAACACTGAAGATGCCTGAAGAAAGTGCTCAATATTATTTGTAAATAGGACACAACTCACCCTACACGTACTGATATCTTGATTGACTTTTCATTTACAGTACTTTATGTGTGATAAATGCAGATGGTAAAACAAATAAAAAATGCAAACAGGGTGCCAACAAACCTAAATCCCTGTAAAGACCTGGCAGGGCCTCTGTAAAGCTGACCCGCTAAGCTTGTCTTATAGTCTAGCAACTGTTTTAGGGCTATCTTGTCAGAACGAAGTTAAAATTTTTCATCCTGGCCCATACCAGTCTGTTTTCAAGCTAATAATGAAGAAATCGTCGTAGTACCTCGTAGTTCTAGTTGCACTAATCTGACGATAAAATCACTTTTTTCGACAAACCTTAGGTCTTACCTTTTTGTGCTACAGTCGCTTCCTGCGAGATGTTCACCTCTCGCCATCTTGTAACAAATGATCAGATTTTGAGTACCGCCCATGAGGCGTAACGATCCCAGTGCGCACACCGCCTCCCGCACTCTGATTCCGCCAGCTAAAAATTAAAGTTATCTTGCAAAGGTAACAATCACTTAAAACCGCCATTGCTTCTAATCTATGAATGGATTTTGTTATCATCTCTGTACATCTGAAGATGGATCTTTGGAGATTGATTGAATCTGATAATATTCTGCAATTTGGAATATAGATGCTTAGAGAATGATTTTATCCTGGTGCAAGCAAGGCTCGTGGTACCATGTTCATATGTGTCCCGCCGAGTTCAATACAAGTACATTGTATGGAAAGAAGAAAGGAAAGATTCAAAAGAAAAGGAAAAGGCAAAATATTTGTGGGAATACTTAGTTGGCTGGAAATACAACATGAACAGATGTCTTCAAATACCAGAGGACAGATGTGGACCGGGAGGTGTTTAATTGTTTATGTTGTTGTTTTAGTTGTCGAAAATTTGGTGTTGGTGTAACCACTAGAATGCCTGAATGAACCTATCCCTGAATAAATTTATAACGTGAAATTCCCCTCTCAGTATAAGCCTCCTTTAATAAGCTCCTTGAGGACATAAATTTGGATATCGGCATTAATTAATCTGCAACGGAACTGCAACTCTCAAGGGAATATCCGAAATATGGTAATGTTCGAAAACAAAGCCGTGGAGAAAATTTTTCATTCATCATTTTTTCTGAATATGTAGCCTTTTTATGACAAGAGTTGATCATAGCAAGACCAAGAGAGTCAGAAAAGAAAAAAATGCTCCTGTCCCAGCCTAGTCTCTAGGCGTTCTCGGCTCGGTCGATCCTGGACTCTACTCTGAGCTGTGACGTCACCGTAAGAGACTCGTCTATTCTTTCCCAGACTACGCGCGGACAGCGGGTCAAGAGAGAATGCCTAGGGACTAGGCTGCTCCCGTCATGATTAAAAATCGTATGCGATAAAAAAAAATAGTCCTTTAGTTTTAGAACATTGCCATGTTTGGAAGATTTCAAAGGGTAGGCAAACACGATAAATTCACGCGTAGTGCATGGGAATTCGATGTTGTGCTAACTTCGAGACAGAAGAAAATCCCAGATCACAAAGTTATTCAAAACCCAATTAGTTAGTTAAAAGTTTTCCATGGGCGCTAAAATGGGGATTGTAGAGTTCACTGATCGAGTGCAGCTGTAAAATGTTTTGAAGGGAATCTATGCATTAATTTTGGTTTAATCGTTGTTTTCATGAAAGTAGCCTAAAAAACTGCAAAAAGAGCTGAGATATTCATTTCGATTGCCAAATAAGAATATCATAATATAGGTCAGTCTATGTGTTAGTGTAATTCATGTGTCATAATGAGTTACAATAAAATTCAAGGTGTCTAGATATAAGAGTGTTTAAGATAAAGGGTGTACCTTCCAAAATGCTAGAGAGCCATCTTAAAGTGTACCATATATTTTTAGGTAAGTTCATGCATCATAACTGGATCAATAACCGTTTAGACAGTGATCTGTTTCCGCGTTTGACTTTCTCTTTATGCAATTGCAGAGAGTAGACACTGAGGTTAAAAAAATTGGTATCCAAGAATGTCCCAGGTTGATGAGTCAAAATGGCTGTTATTATTATTATTATTTTGTTTGTTTGTTTTTTTTATTATTTAGCTGTCTGGAACCAATATGATGACACAATTTTTAGTCCACCCAGCTGGTTACAGTCAGCTCGTAACAAAATGCCACTTCTGAAGAAAAGTATGGATCCTGCTAAAGGAAGAAAGATTGCTACTCGGGCAATGCTTCCCGACTGGGAAGGATTTACCATGGAAGGTGGCAATACAAGCTTGTCGGCTTGGGAGGCCATAGAGAGTGTCAACGACTTAGCTTTCTGTATGACACAGGCACACGTGGAGGGAAATAATCGTGTCTGCAGGAATGTTCCGTCTTCGTATGACTTCAGCAAAGTAACGCAATGCTAAATTTTATCTTTCATGACTGTTTAGTTTGAAGTTTTTAGTGCTACCATAGATATGACAGTATTTTTCGGACACCTCAAAACGAACCTCCAAAAGTTAACTGCTGTTGCAAATAAAATCACTTATCCTGGGTGTCGCTAAACAATGGTGGATCTCGGTTCATAGTATTCTCAAAAGTTTTATTTTATTTTATTTTATTTATTCTTAACAACACTTTATTTCATATTTACATACAAAGCAAAAATTACAAAAATTGTGAAAACTAGAAAAAAAATAGCAAAATTACAATTTACAAAAGTTATTGAAAATTACAATTTAAATTATCTTTACCCTTATACATGAAAAATCAGTAACTTTTATTTTTTTGTAACATAACATAATAAGGTAACTGACGAAGACTATATTATACGCACACGTATCCACAATGGATTTAAAACAAGCAAACAGACAGACAGACAACTTAAACAGGACAGTTCTAAAGAGAACCGCCTACAGTTCACTTCCACAGAATAGTACATTCGTTAAAGGAGGGCAGATTTTTTGATCTTTCATCGAGACCATTTCTTTTTAAAAGTGTCTAAAGAATTATGGTCTTTTGCAATTTGCCTTTCTATTTCCACAATGCGTTGAACTATTTATTTGGATATTTTGGCGCGTATCTCTTTGTTTACAGGTGTCGATATAATGCCTGGAAATAAGTAGTAAATGGTGCAGTAGCAAATCTTTTGCATCGTTAATTCAGCCAAATAAGAGAGCATACCCAAAAGTTACTCTTTTAAGGCTGTCAAAAAGTTATCACTACCAGGTATAATCAATTAGGAATTGGGGAATTCAACAATTAGGACGTTCTTTGGGTCTACTTTTCGGGGTTCATGCTGATAGTAGATATTAACAACATATCCGGCTATTTCTGGCTATGCTGTTTGTTTAGAACGTAATTACATATTGATTTTGATTTACGTTTGTCTCTTGTTCGTGTATCACTGTGTCATTATATTAACGGCAAGTTGTTTTATCTTACCATTTTTAGGTTCTAAAGAAAATGTTGCAGCCAAAGATAGAGCAGAATGCTCTACCCCTATCAAATGGCACAGACAATACCAAAAGGATGCTTCGTCTTGTATCATCAGTAGCGATTGCTCATGTTATTGTTTCTCACAAAGTGCGCCTGGATCGTGATAAATATGCAAAACTGTTGTCATCGTTAGTTCTCTGGCGAGATGCAAAGAAAAAAACTTGTAGTTCATTTACCAGTCTTTTGAGTCACTTTCCCAGCACACAGTGGCGGTAGGTAGTTCCTCCGTGTTTTTATATTGTTTTCGGGTTCAACTCGAAATAAAATTCGCCCTTAATGGACCAATCATGTTGACAACAGAGCTTTAGGTTAAAGGCACTGCAAAGGGTAGAATACAGTTGCCAAAAACGTACATAAGTCCTTTGAGTGGTGGATACATTTTATCAACAGAAGTTGATAAAAGCACCAGATTGAACCCGATCTCTTTCATGTGGTCAGTGAACTAAAGTAGGATTTAAAAAAACAAACAAACAAACAAACAAAAACAAATAAAGAGGTTTTGCGGACTGAAAGTGGTATGTCGCCGTAATGGTGTCTCGTAACATTCCAGAAGATATAAGTATTCTTGTCTCTGTTCTGAAGTCAACTACCTTAATTAATTTCACCGTACTCCATAGACCATTTCACGTGGTGGTCATGTTAAACTAAACTCGTTCCCAAGTTTTTTTTCTTTGCAAGGCTAGACATGCTTTTTTTCCAGAGTTGAACCTTAAGCGTCAAGTAGCTTGTGTTTTAGTACCTACATAAATCAACCTGCGTTACCTGTGCCTATTTTGCCTTCCAGGAACAGCTTTTAATGTTTTCACATTCTGCTTAAGCCCTGTTAACTTTTGATCCCGAATTAGAAACTAGTGTCTGGTTGTCTAAATCTATTTTTGAAAATATTAATCAATAATAAATAAGAAAATAAATGAAAATATGTCGAGCATTTTCTTTTGAGCTTATTCTAAATACGTATAATAGTTTAAGGCTTTACACTTTTCTTTAAGGAACCTTGGAGAATCCATTCAAGAAATATGCAGGCAAGTTGTGACGGATCACAACGACCTTCATGAGTGGTTGTTTGCTGTACCACTTGTCCATTTCCTGACCCAGGTATCAGAACCATTTAACAGTGATGCGTTACTCACGGAGGAACCTAAACCTAACGATGACACCTGGTGGGGTGCAAATGGATTTCCTACCAAAACAGTGAGAGAAAGAAAATTTACAAAGAACAGGTGAAAGACGCAAATTTTTTTAGAGTGTCATTGTATTTAGCATAAAAGTAGTGATTGAGGACTCTTTTATGGGACCGCCATTTTAGGTGGCCATCCAAACCGCACGAAGGTGCACCCGTTTGCAGTGCAAAGGCAGTACCTTCATTTCTCAGTTGTTTTAGGATCCTTAATATTGGTCTGATCCAAAAATTGGATCCACGACCTCCATCTCTGCCCGTCAAGCGCTCTACCTACTGACTTAGTCCAACCGAGGTTAGTTGTTTTTGGAGCATATATACCCCGATAAAGTGCTGCCATGTTAAGAAATATGGCAGCACTTTATACATTAAATATTATATTGTTGGTTTTCATTTGTTTTGGTGTTTATCGTCTGGTGAAGTTCAACAAGTTTACAACATGGCGGCTGCACACGTTGTTAACGGCTCCTCGGGGCCAAGGCGAATTCTTCTTTATATCTGGTTTCTACTAGGTGCCGCGTTTCTGGGTAAATATTCTTGCGGAGGATTCTTTATACACAAGTTCCATGGCTCTTGTGGTTCGTTTACACCCGCAATTGTCCGGCCTTGCGATGAAATCTCGGCCTCATCGCTACCTAACTGCCCGTATTTTATACACGACAAAAGGTACAAGCTCATTCCAAGTTGAAAGGCTTTTGACCTGTGGTGATATCGCTAAAAACCCAGTTCCTAAGGTCAAGCGCGTTCGTAAAATTTCCATGTGTTGATTGCAAGAAAAGTGTCACAGGGGCACCCAACGACAATTTTCGGAAGAATATCTCTTCGGAAGACGATTTGAGATCTAGAATTTTCGAAACATTTGTTGTAAAATTTCTTGCTTGCCTGCTTCTCCTAGGATTTTCGAACATCTAAAAAATGGTATAATTGCCCATTTTTAACGGATTAAATGGGATTTTTCCACTGGATCTTAAAAGCCCTCGGAAAAAAGACCGACTTTAAAAGCTTTTCCATTCAAAACTAGGGATATTAAAAGACTCGTGATCTGAAAGTCGATCCTTTAGGCTTGTCTACTTTTTTTTTTAGGGGATACAAATATGCCTATATCTACCGTTTAAATACTAAAATACGTTTAACAATGCTATGTTTAAGTGGTTTTGAACTATATTCTCGTTGGGTGCCCCTGGTGTCAGAACTGACCAGGACGCTATCTTGTGTGGTTCTTGTACCACGTGGTTTCATACCAAGTGCCTTGGTATGTCCAAGTCTGTGTTCCAGTACTATCTTGCATATCCTGATATTGAATGCAGGGACTTGCACTTTCTGTGCATTACCACCGCTTAGTGACTCGTTTTTCGCAGATATTTCGCCTGTCGACGTTTTTTCTATGACTGCCGGGGAGCTTGGAAATGATGATTTATCTTCGACCTCTGCCTCATTTACTGAGATACCTACAGCCTGATATAGGGATAAAATTAAGGGTTACTACAAGAAAAACTTATCCATCGGCCATCTGAATATAAACAGTATTCTCGACAAAATCGATGAGGTGTTAGATCTACTGAATGAGTGCCGTTTTGACATCTTGTTTCTTTCTGAAACTAAATTAGACAAATCTGTATCATCAACCCTACTTTCCAACCCACATTATTGCATCATACGCAGAGACAGAAAGCGAGGTGCTGGTGGTGTGCTTGTTTACATTCGTAATTCAGTTGTTGCTCGACGACAGCCTAAAATGGAACCGGAAAATATCGAATCGATTTGCTTAAATGTCAAAGAGATTGCAAATACATCATTCCATGAGTGTGTCTGCTACCGTTCACCGAACCTCTGCAAAGTATCTGACTTTATTTCTGCCTGTTCAACTGCCGCAGATAAAATGCTTAAGTCCAAGAGCGGGTGATTTCAACATTGACATGCTTCAAAGTAACTGCAACATTAATTTGCATAGTCACACTAATCCCTTAACAGATGATTGCGACCAGTTTTGTCTCACCAATACAATAGATGAACCGACAAGAGTGACAAAAACGAGTATATCACTGATCGATGTTATCCTAGTCAACCGACCGGAGCATTGGGCTACTAGTGGCTCGTTACAACTTGACATGAATGATCATGACCTTATTTACATTGTCAGAAAACAAAGATTACCGAAATCTAGAGTCAAAGTAATCGAGTCTAGAAGTATGAAACAATAAAATCAGGATGCATTCCTGGCTGATCTAGCGACAGCCCCTTGGGACACGGCTTTTATCTTTGACAACATTGATGATGTTTGGGCCCACTGGTCTACATTATTTAATGCCATAGTAGGGAAACGCGCACCTGTTATTAAAAAGAGAGTCCGGTTTAATCAGCTTCCCTGGATCAATGTAGAGATAAAGAAAGCTATGCGTTTGAGAAACAAGCTGTACAAAAAATATCGTCGCCATCCTACTGAAGACACGTGGGAGCACTATAGGGTACAAAGGAACTTAGTTACTAAACTGAAACGAGTCGCAATTAAACGTTGCTGATTCTGCTTCTAATACAACCACACCCAACAGTTCCTGGAAAAAACTTAAACCCCTATTACCCTCTGCAAGGAGAGACATCTCCCAAGAGGACATTTACCTAATAGATTATGCCAAAGTCGTTAAAGAACCTTTTTCTCTACTCGAATCCTGGATCAATCTGCCCTGAAGCTCAAGCAGGAAGAATTTTTGACTTTAAGCTGAACTTTTCCTTCCAACCAGTACGTGTCTTATATATTTAAACTCTTCTGGGTGAGATCAAGTGCAATAAATCTTGTGGACCTGATAATATAATGCCCAAGATTCTTAAATTTTCAGCACCATCTATAGCAGTTCACCTGACAAAGCTACTTAATCTCTGCATTAGTACTTCTACGTGGCCTACGGAGTGGAAGCTCAGCCATGTGACACCCGTATTTAAAAAAGTTGATACCACATCAGTATCAAATTACAGATCTTTCAGAGTCCTGTCTATCATACCCAAGATCGTAGAAAAAGTTATGTTTGACCAGCTTTATGACGTATTTCAACCCTTTTTTTCGTCTAATATGTCTGGATTTCTTCGTGGACATTCCTGTTGCACTACACTGGTCAAAATGGTCGATGACCGGCGTCTGGCTCTGGATTCCAAAAGGTTACTGGCTCCATTGCAATTGACTTATCCAAAACCTTTGATTCCATATGTCATAATTTGCTTCTTGCAAAGCTACGTGCTTATGGCGTTGGTGAGGAGGCAATTGACTTCTTGCATTCCTACTTGTCTGGTCGAAAGCAAAGAATGAAGGTCAACGGAGTTTTCTGGGATTGGCTACCGGTGTATTGTGGCGTTCCTCAAGGCAGCCTCCTGGGCCACTCCTGTTTAATGTATTTATCAACGATCTGAATTTTTCTGTTCAACTCTCTTCCCTGAGGCTCTATGCTGATGACACTACCGCCTATTCATCCAATACAGACATTTCAGCATTGGAACTGTCTCTTAACAAAGATCTTGAGAATCTCTCATCCTGGTTTGCTTCAAATTACTTGTCCGTCAACAGCAAGAAAACCCAAGCTGCGATCCTGGGTAAGGAATCTCATGAACCTGCTCTTCATATTGGCGACTCGGTTATCGAAATAATTGGCTTCCTGAATATTCTTGGTGTTTGTATAGACGATAAGTTGTCCTTTAAAGACCACCTATCAACTGTTTTAAGGAATGTCTATGCCAAGGTTGGAGCTCTGAGACGACTTAGAAAGCTGGTGCATGCTGATATCTCACTTATGCGGTACATGGCTTATATACTTCCACACCTTGACAATTGTAGTCCATCACTGAACAAGAAACTTGAATCTGCAAACTATTATGCTTTAAAAGCCCTCTTAAATTTCGGAAACAGCTTAGATTATGATTCCATATTGTCTACTGTAAACATGCAATGACTGGAACATAGACGGTACTATCAATCTCTTTTCCTCCTTTTTAAATGCATAAAAGGAAATGGGCCTGACTATATTTCTGATTTATTCGAACCTCGTATATTGCGCTACAATTTAAAGAACAACGATCACAATCTCACTCAACCATCCTATAATAATCGATATTATCACAATTCTTTCACTTACAAGGCTTCGCATTCATGGAATCAGCTGCCTCCTTACATTAAGAGATCGACTGAGTTGAGTTAATATCGTAAGCACTTAAGGTCCAGTTGTAAATGTAATTTTTGTATATCTTAGGGTTTTACTATATCTGTTTTC